AAACTGCGGGGAACTCTGCAAAAAACGCATCTTCGCACGGGCAGCCCATGCGTTGGCCAATTTTTTCGATTTTGCAATAAAAGCATCATTATTTCCGATTCTGAACTTATTTTGGCCGTTCGAACCTGTCTGCTGATATGCCAGCAGAAGCAAGAGAGGAAACTCCTGGTGAATTCTGAATTTCTGTGTAAATGCTCAGCTCACCAGTTTTTCTCGTTTTACTCAAAAATTATGCGATTTGGCAAATTTTTGCTTTGAGAAGTTGAGATTTGGGCATCTTCCGCGCAGTAACTATGTGTACATGTGAGATTTGCTAATGTACAGTCGCGTCGAGCAAAGGTATACAGCAAACATTACTATTTATTGAACAGCACTTTATGCGCGTAGCATTTCGTTTTACATTTTTTCAGTTGCTCTTTCAAAGTTGGAGATTTGGTGACAAGTATCGGGCGATTGTGGCCGTGGAGCCGTCTTTTTGTGGCTGATCAGGCCGACCTTGTTAGGGCAGGTTTCTTTGACCATTTTTTATTGGCAGCCGTGAAATTGGAGTCGGGGAAAGTACTGTTTACACGGCTGGTACGAAAATGCTGGGAAATGAGGAAAGAATTTATAGAAAATGAGAAGTTTGGGTTTTATTCATTAATAGTCCGAAAAATATGCATTATTTTTTACTTGAAATGTTTCAATTGGCCATGCGAAGGAGTTTCTAAAGGGAAAGACTGCTAAAACTTGGAAAAAAGCGCATATTTTTGCAGAGTGTCTCTGCATGGCAGCCTGAATCGGTGTGCGGTTTCAGGTCGACTTACCTCCGGGTTTCTCACCATCAGTTGTGCTAAGCTGTGTTGGTCTGTCCGGACTAACGGCTCTTCTTGGTATCCAGAAAAAAGCAAACATTGATCGAACCCGGCCGCAGACATTCGTCGTTTCCGGCGCAGCTGGCTCATGTGGTTCGCTGGCTGGGCAGGTTGGTCCTGATCATTTCTCATCTCTTGCTGCTGTAAATGAGAGGAAGGAAGTGTAAGATAATTGCTGAGTTATAGATAGCACGTTTGTATGGCTGCACCAAGGTGATTGGTATTTGCGGCTCTGACCAGAAGTGCGACGTGCTGCTCGGTGAATGGGGCTTCGATGGTGCTATAAATTACAAGAAGGAATCGGTGGTTGATCGTCTGAAGCAGCTCGCCCCGGAGGGCGTCGACATTTACTTCGATAATGTTGGAGGATTCGTCAGTGACGCCGTCATTTCACTGGTGGGCTGTGCTTGTATTTCGTAAATTTGCTGTGCGATAATTTTAAGCTTAATTAGACTGCTGGGGCAATCGGGTAATTCCATGATTTGCTGGGATCGTTAAGCAAAACATTTCGATTTTTATGCGCCACATAAAATCGAGCGATACATAATAACCGACTGGTTGCGCACAAAATGTGAAGTGTGAAAAGAAACTGAAAAATACTAGATACAAAGGTGGTGCGCCTTAGCCAGAATCTTGGGTTTATTACACAGTTTTATCCAGTTTTTTTGTGATCAAATTCATCTCAAAAATAATTTTTTCACTCCTCTATTTTAGCCCCAAGTTGCTTTCAGCACGTAAATTTATTTTTATCAGACTTAGCTTGGCAGTTCTGCAGACACAAGTGAAATCTTTTGTGCTGTGCAAATTTCTTGTAAATCTAAAATATGTATGCAAAGACGAGGTCATAAAAAAAGATCCAGTAAAGACTGAAGGTTGTTGTTATAGTTTTTTAAGGATCGAAGTTAAATTATGAATATTGCAACCTTTAGCTGGCTGTGCGTGATATGCGAGCACATCTTCATACAGACACGATTTCATTTAGTGTGCATAGTGATGCTTG